TGGGAGGAAGGGCGATGGCAAAAGTACAAATATGGGAGGCATGGCAGGTTGATTCTATCACCTTGCCACCATCTCGCAATGGTAAGCATTATGTGCTTACTATGGTGGAGGCAACCACTGGGTGGCTGGAAACATATGCAGTACCCCATGCTACGGCCCGAAACACCATATTAGGGCTTGAGAAACAAGTCCTGTGGCGACATGGCACCCCGGAAAGAATCGAGTCAGATAATGGGACTCATTTCAAAAATTCTCTTGTAAATACTTGGGCCAAAGATCATGGCATCGAGTGGATTTACCATATTCCCTATCATGCACCAGCCTCTGGTAAAATTGAACGATACAATGGATTGTTAAAAACGATGCTAAAAGCACTGGGTGGCGGAACATTTAAGCACTGGGAGAAGCATTTGGCAGAAGCCACCTGGTTAGTCAATACCAGAGGATCTATCAATCGTGATGGTCCTAACCAATCCAGTTCCCTACATACCGTAGAGGGAGATAAAGTCCCCGTTGTACATGTAAAGAACATGTTAGGAAAGGCAGTTTGGGTTCTTCCAGCTTCTGGAAAGGGCAAACCTCTCCGTGGTGCAGTTTTTGCCCAGGGACCAGGATCTACTTGGTGGGTAATGCAGAAGAATGGCGATGTCCAATGTGTACCACAAGGAAACTTGATGCTGGGGGAGTGCAGTTACTAATTCTATGTATATGTATATAGCCATATGTGTGTAATGCATTTTAATCATTTTTTTTGTTTGTTTGTTTGTATATATATTCTAAGCATGATGTAACGATGTAGAATAAGGGGTGGAATGTCATGGTTCTATGTTTTTGTTTTTTTGTTTTTGTATTTCAGTATTCCACATCAAAACATCATGTAGTGTACGGGGCATTGAAGTGTCACTGCCCCAATCCCAGCTACCTATCCCTGTACATTACAGCAGTCACGGGATCTGGCCCTTCCGGGTGGGGGGGCGCTCTCTTGCTGCCTTGCAGTGGGTGCTGGAGGTGCTTTCCTGGCCGTTCCAAGCTTTTCAGGTTTGACTCGGTCCCGGGAACTCTCTCTCTCTCATCTTGTCTGATTTATTAATCTCAATTTCAATTAAATTGTATATATTGTGTTATCTTGTATTCCAATATTATAGTAAAATAAGTTTTCCTCCATAGATTGTTGCCGCTGCTCTTTTCCTCCCTTCCTTCCTTCCCATTTTTTGTGGCACTGGGGTGGGGGGGGAGGGCAGAGGCCTGTTGCCCCTGTCACGGACATAGATTGATCTGGTCAACTCCGTTGACCAGACACCTTTAGAAGTGGAAGCACAGGCTATGCATGCAGCTCATTACACACACACACACACACACACACACACACACTCCCCTCATGCACCTTCAGTCCTGCTGTCTCTGACAGACACTGGAGCCTTGCAAAGCCAGATGGGATTCCAGCAGGAAGTGTTTATGCAGCACTTAACCCAATGGGTGACACCAGGAGTGGGCTAGAAGTTAAGGACAAGTTTCATTTCTGCTTGCCAATGCATCTGAGGAATGTTTTCTCCCCAAATGTTACCCTTAAGCCAATACGTTCCAAGAGAGTAAGCACCAAAAACTGCACCACAGTAAGAAAAAGCAGCAATCAGAACTAGCAAGATAAATTTCATGTCAAGCCTCATACTGTATATAATTAAATAGTCAAATAGTTTGTGTGATCTAAATTAATGCTCTAAGCTATTTCTTAGCTATGATTTGAGGCTTGTCATCTAGTTGTAACAACTGGAGGAGATAACCTATCAAATGTATGAAAAAACAGTTTAATAGCCATATGAACAGAAGAACAACTGAATGTTCAGCAATACATAATTTAAAATACTATTTAAGATACTTAAATAAAATAAAAAAACAATTCTGAACTATAACTTTCGAAAAATTGCTTCATACATTTGTACTTGGGACAGATTGATTAGATAACATTTACCTTAAACTTTTAAGGTAAAATTCTCAGCCCTTTATGACTTTACACAGCTAAGGCACACCATCTCTTGAACCTTTTTAACTTTTAAGTAGTATGCTCTGGGAGCATCATAATAACAACATCAGTTGTTATTATTTTCTGACTGTTACAATTCCTAGTTTCCTGCCACATTAGTTACAGTTCAGCACTTTGCAGTTACCCCATTCCAAGGGTCAAGAATTCAGTACACTCTCCCTCTCATCTCTGCTTTGACAAAGGCTCTTTTCAAAGGAATTTAATGAATCCAAGTTAGATAAAAGCAGAATCAAACTATCAGAGAACTCTTCAAAATGCTGCATTCCCTCACAGGGAAGGAGATCCCTAGCTGGATCTACCAATTAAAAAAAAGAGAGATTTAAAATTAAATTGTTAAATTTAAAAATTCAATTGTTACAACAACTCTGAAAACAATTCCTGTGTGATACTGGAAAAATTTAGGGGTAATTATTTTAACCTTATTTAGATAATGAATCACACTAAATAGTCAAAACAGAAGTATCAGAGTTCAGTTTTTCTACATCACTCCTGCTGCATGTCAGTGATTTGCTATTTGATACTTGTGTTACCAGTTCCTTATTGGCAGTGTCTTGAAAGTAGAATGAAATCCAGTTGATGTTTTAAAAAAATTGACATGTTAGCCTTGAATGGCTCTGCTACTTAATGAACCTTGTTTTTGGTAGCAAGAGAACTACCTAGCTAACAGGTCAAGACACCACTCTACAGGACAGGAAATATGAACATGTAATTAGAAGAACTGTAGGAAGGATGACACACAGAATTACTCCTACTGGGCCTGAATACTCAAAGATGTTATTTTCTTCTATTGGTATCTTTGAAGAATTTGGATAACTTAAGTGTAGGATAACATTGCCTGGAAAAAGCTAAATCATTTGAGATAGTTTTCTTTAAGAACGTTAAAACAGGAAAGAAGGCTCTAAATTATCAATAAAATGTCAGAACACACAACACTCTAGTATCATCAGACAGCTTGGTAACTCTAGCATTGATTTAAGCCCTAAAGAAAAAAGCAAACTTCACATCTTAAATTTCCTTCCAAATCTTTTCCTAGCACAGGCTTTAGTCTAGGAGATAAACAACAGGCCTTTGAGGTCAGCTTTGTACATCATTGGTCCACGCTGTTACCTGACATTTTGAGTAGGGTTCCACCTCTCCGATGGCAGCTCTCCACTTTGTGGATCATCTACAGGTGGATGAAGAATGGAAATACATACATCTCCATTCTGAAAGACAGAAATTAAAGTTGAGAATAGCCCAGCTCAAGGTAAAAGTCTAATGACTCAGCTCCATCTCTAGCTATGTTCAAGTGGCTCAGCCTTAAACAATCCAAACACCAATAAAAACATGCAGGAACTGCTAACAGTCCTCAATTCTTCCTAGATTTACTGTATTAATATGTTCAAAAGCTTCTCTTGCTTAGAGTCAGTCTGCAAATTGATACTGTAGAGAAACTGTTAGGTCATGTCTTGAACAGGTGATTGAACACCAGGTAAAGGGGTGTGGCTGGCCCAGGGAACACAAGCAAATTGCTTGCAACTGTGCTCACCATGTGACCAGAAGGGGTGAACCCAGAGTGGAGCCACCCTAGATTAGGGTCCTAGGGCCAGCCATGGAAGAAAGGATTTTGTGGACTTAGGCTGTTTTCTAGGAAGAAGTACTAGCAT